GGGTTTTGCTATTACTGGTATTACTGCTACTGGCTGCTGCTGCTGTTGCTGCTGCTGCTACTATTGCTGCTACTGTTACTGGTATTACTGCATACTGATAGTGTAATAGTGTTGATGCTGGTCTTGCTATTGCTGCTTCACTGGTGTTACTATACTTTGAATAAACAAGATCGGTAGCTCTTACGAAGTCTTTGTTTCAAAATTAATCCAGTAGGAAACTTTGAAATCTTCATGAAAAATTGAAGTATATCGATAGCATAATGGATGATGTACCTCTCTCATCGACATTACTCGAAGATATATATTTAAGAACATATCGAATTTATCGATATTATTGATAAACACGTATTTATAATAAATTGATAGTTTTTCTTAATTTATTTTCACTTTTTTTTTTTTTTTTTTTTTTTCTTTTTTTCGTCGAATTCGAGAAGAAAATTTATGAGTGGTAATATGAAGAAAAGAAAAGAAAAAAGAAAGAAAGAAAGAAAGAAAGAAAGAAAATTAAAGTAACACTCAAAGTGTTAAGTCAAATCGATAAAAGAGATTTAAATTAGGCATCGAGAAATATATATATATTTTTTTTCTTTTGAATAAGTTAAGAGAAATCAAATAAAATCATTAAAAAAAAAAAGAAAAAAGAAAAAAAAAACCTAAAAGAAAAAGGAAGAACAATGAAAGTAGAAATTTCGACGCAAGGGAATAAAATAGAAAGATATAACAATGATTTCGTTGGTACCAAACGTTGAAAACTCTCTTGTGCGATTTAATAACTTAGTTGTGAGTTTCCGTCACATACAACGTAAACTAACGGAACGAATGATCACAATTTTACGTTTTCGTTTTAACGAGTTGTCGCGAAATGACATACACACAGACACAAACACAGACACAGACGCAGATGCATATAACGACGAGGAATAGAGACGAAGCATCGAAGTAAGAATTTAATTAAAATTCGTTTTATACGGCTACGTAGTCGAGGAAGAAAAGTTTCTTCTTAGAAGAATTTTACCACTTAAAATTTCATAGTTGCAGTTGACGCAGTCATAGCGTATCTTAGCATTCAAATATCGCGATATATAACTTTAATAATAATTAATTGAATGCACCGACTGACACAGTTACCATTATTGACTATAACTATGCATTAACAACCGATAATAAATAAATAAGTATATAGATAAATATCATAAGTAAATAACATGGCTCTAACCTTATGTTATGTAACAAAAAGTAAAACTTTGTTAGGGAGAAAGTTTAGATTGAGTAAAAGGGAGTGAAAGTGGGAGTTGAAGGAGGTCGGAATGAAGGGAAAGGGTGGTTCTCCATAAAAGGAGTAATGAAAATTTGTTTGTGTCAGGTAAGTAATACACGTCAAACGAAAGTATGAAATATTCCTGACGTCACATTGATAAACAAATATATATGTAAAACACACATACGCGCGCACATATATAGGTACATGTGTCTGTATGTATTTATATATAACATATTTCGATTTAGACTCTTCAAACAACATTCTAAAAATATAACCTTTTAACTCTCTACAGGACCGTGTAATTTTCAAGTCATTGTATGTACTTAAGTATATATATAGTATGTACGTATATATATATATATATATATATATATATATATATATATATATATATATATATATATATCATACCAGGTGTTCAAAATATGACGTTAAAATGAATCAAATGATTTCAAGAGAGAAATTATATTATGGTGTTTATTATTTCTTCTTTATTTTTTTTTTTGTATTGATAAATTTTCTAGATCACTTTTCAAGATCACTTTTAGGATCAACTTTGACCTTTTCTTTTTTTTTTTTTTTTTAAATAGTAACTCATTTTGATTTTTTTTTTTTTTTTAATAATGGTAACTTATTCTACGTTAAAAAAAAAAATAAAGAACGCGAGAGGAAAATAATAAAAGATAAAAATAAAAAATAAAGAGAAACCGAGTAACCTTTGTCTTATATATCAATTTCGTCCTAAACCTGTATAAAAAAAAAAAAAAAAAAAAAAAAAAAAAAAAAAAAAAAAAAAAAAAAAAAAAAAAAAAAAAAAAAAAAAAAAGGTGTGTGTGTTTTATAATGTATTAACTGAAACATGAATTTCTTTCGGTACGTTCAGATCGATCGATCGTTCGATCGTACGATATTCATCCAATACAAACTCCTTCGAGATATTTCATTTTTAAATCTTTAATTAAAACTATGTAAATAAAATAAGATTCGACGTTATACTTTGAGTTACTAGGACGAGCTATAATAATCCTAAGAGAATTCGAATTCAAATTTGATCTCAGGAATGAGAGATACGTACGATGAGATAGAAAAAGACAGAAAGAAAGAAAGAAAGAGAGAGAGAGAGAGAGAGAGAGAGAGAAGAATAGAAAAAAAAATAGAAAGAAAGAAAGAAAGAAAGAAAGAAAATCTCGTTGAATTTGCGAGCAAAGATCTTTAAAAATAGATCATGCCTTTTTCCATTTTCATTCTACTTGTCATTATAATACCGTAGTCAGTAAATTCCCGAGGGAAAGATGTGAGATGGAGAAAATAGAGAGAGAGAGAGAGAGAGAGAGGGAGAGAGAGGAAGAGTAAGAAAGAGAAAGAATGAGTAAGTGAGAGAAAGAGAGAGAAAGAGAGAATGAGTTAGAAAAAGAAAGGCGAATAGAATTCGAAGAGTTTAAAGAGAAATAAAATGAGAGAGAGAGAGAGAGAGAGGGGGGGGAGAGAAAGAGAGGGAGAGAGAGGTGAATAGAATTCGAGGAGTTTAAAGAGAAATAAAGAGAGAGAAAGAGAGGCGTGGAACGCGAAATGGAACTCACCAGTGGAAAAGCTGTAAGGGCAGAGTAAACGAGACAAGCCATGAAATATGAAGCTGGACGCATACACATACATACGAGTCAGTCAATGAGGGTTTGCGATGTTGGAGCCTACAAAATCGAGCTCTCTTCCTCTCTCCCTCCCTCCCTTCCTCCTCTCTCTCTCTTTCTTTCTCACCCTCTTCGTTGGCTTTTTAACGTTTCCCATCTTCCTCGATCGTACGCTTTGACGAGGCTCCCTTAAACGCGAGAACAAAGGCATCGAGAGATATAGAGAGAAAGAGACAGAAAGAAAGACAGAGAGAGAGAGAGAGAGGGAGGGAGGGAGGAAGAGAGAAAATGGGAGGGGTGTGGAGAGAGATAAAGAGAGAGAGAGAGAGTGTAGCAAATGACGCCCCTATGTAATATGTGTATCCCTTTAATATTCCTGATCGAGAAGAAACGAAGCAGAGAGGCAGTGTTTAATTAAAAAGAAAAAAAAAAAAAAAAAAAAAGTAAGAAAGAAAGAAAAGAAGAAAAGAAAAAAAACGACAAAAAATGACGACTGAATCGAAATTAAAACGAGACTGTATTTCCTTTTCTTTTTCTTTTTTTTTTTGTTTTCCTTTTTCTTTTTTTCTTACCTTTTGCAAATACCGTTCCACACTTTCTTTTTTCTATCTCAATACCATTACCTTTACATTGAATTAAATTAAAATAATTTAAAAGAACTTGATTATATATATATATATATATATATATATATATATTTTTTTTCCATTTTATTAATATCAATTAATCATATTAAAAAGATTAAGAGAAAGGATTATAGAAAAAGGAGAGGACGTTTTTTTTTTTGTATAATCATCAATAATTACATATGCGAGTAAAAATATAATTAAGTGAATAAATGTTGTAAAACATAATGAAATATTTATGATAATCATTTTATTAAATTTATCGTTCTATATCTAACGAATGAAAAACGATGATATAAGGTGAAAGATTTATCGAAAATAATTTTAATTAAATCGCTCCCACGTTTGTCTGTGTATCTGTGTAAAGATGTACACAGTGTGGAGTGTTGTTGTTGATAAAAGGAAAGAAGAGAAGGAAGGACCAGCGATAAGCACGATAAGAGCTTAAAAATGAATAGACTTAAGCTTTTTTTCTCCCCCCCCCCTCTTTCTCTCTCTCTCTCTCTCTCTTTGTATCTCTCGTTCAGCCTTTTGATATCACAAATCTCTCTGTCTTTCTATCTGACTTTATACTGAAACCTCCATCCGAGTGCTTTTCGGAATCGAAGACAAAAGGGTCGGCGCAAAGGTTGACCCGCACTTCACTTCTACCACCATTCTTCCGGGTGTGTATAAGATAGAAAGAGAGAGAGAGAGAGAGAGAGAGAGAGACAAAAGAAACAAGGAAGAAGATCTAAGAGAAATAATAGTAAAGAAGAGTGTAGAGAAAGAGAAAGAGAGAGAGAGAATAAAAGACAGTAAAAGAGAAAGAAAGAGAGAGTGAGAGAGAGAGATAGGGTAGTAAATGAAGAGACGAAGAAGAGGTAGTATGTCCCGGAAGAGAAGAATGAGTTAGATAGTGATGAGAGAAAAAGAGAAAAACAGAGAGAGAGAGAGAGAGAGAGAGAGACTCAACGAGACTCGTTCTATTCTTTTCTAACTACCGCCTTTCTTCGTGCTCTAGTTTCCAAGTTCTCACCCCTAGTAATACTTGACACGCGTGTTAAGCATACGAACTGTCCTCGTAGGTATGTATCTCTATCTCTCTTTCTCTGACTCTCTCACTCTATGTCTATCTGTCTGTCTATCTGTCTGTCTGTCTGTCTATTACTCTTTCTCTCTCTCTCTCTCCCGTTTCTTTTCCTCCAACCAGTTTCATTAACGATAACAATTCGATCGATATATTCGAAGAACGACAAAGTCATAACGAGTTATTCTAACGGATTAATTAGAGTATCTACGTACGTATGTATGTATGTCTTTAAAAAAAAAAAAAAAAAAAATCTTTATCAATAAACTCTCCATATATCTCTCCATATATATATATATATATATGAAACAATAGCTGTGGCTTCGTATAATCATTCCTTTAAACTATGTCCAAATAATCCAATAAAGAAATTGTTTCGAAACTACGAGGCTAAGAAACCAATGGTGAATTCCTGA